CCCCAGTCTCACAGACACACATACACTTGCTGCTAAACACACACAGCATGCACGCACACATTCTGCAGCATACCACTGGCTTGTTTTTCTTACCACTGAGCGCTTTGCCCTGTAATTTGATCTCCACTGCTTGATGCATCCTCCATGATGCCACTTTGAATTAACCTATGGCTCCACAGCTCTCCTTAGCCCCGGCTAATAAAGTAGCCTCTCCTTACTTATGCCATTTACATTCAGGAAAGAAAAAGAAGAAGCACTTGATCCATCTCATGGTCGTGCACAGAGCAAGGAACATAAATGAAGAAGAGGGGAGACGAACAAGACAATTGACTGTGAAAAGGCCTGTTAATGACTGGGCACAGATGGTCAGAAATAACCCAAGGATAGACGGAGGAGACACTCGCCTCTGCCAACTGGCCTGATACACAAAACTCACCCAATGAGACACAAGCTGCAGTGCTGTTAGGTCACAAACCTGATCACAGCTGTGGATGCTGTTCGTTTACGCCCTAAGCTAATGGCGCAATCCCCGTTAGCCTGCAAGAGGTTAGCCACGCCCGAGGAAAACAGCTAGCCCACCTTTTTTTTTTTCTTTTTGTCAAACAGCGCAGCAACTTGAAGTAGAATGCCTCACACTGTTAACACTGGCATACTGCATATAGCATTAATTGGCAGTTGTATTCTTGCCCTCACTGCAGGGGAAAGCTGCGTTCAGCTTCAGTCACCGTAGCATAATATGCACGAAAAGGAGGCGAAGGGGAGGGCAAAAGCAGGGGGAAAAAAAGCGCAATACTGGCACCACAAGCAGCACGTCAGCCTGCTTACACTCCAGAGTGGCACACATACACACACATATACACACACATTGTTACTCCTCCCCAACAGTCCCTGCAATTTGCAGCCAAAAAGGCGAAGGGAGAGGTTTTCCACACACACAACTAACTGACATCTCATCAGCCAGCCGAAGGGCTGATTAGCACAGAGGTGACTGCGGCTGTGTCTCTGTCCAACTCAGAGGACCACACTGTCCTCACGCTGACCTTGAGCTTCCTCTCCCTCCATCCTTCTTTTCTACCCTCCTCTCTCCTTTTACTCTCCCTCTCACCACTGTTCTTCCTTCCGTCCTCTGTCTACATATCCTCCCTCTTTCCTCCCTCTCCTTTTCTGTGTTTTCTGTCTTTCCTCGCCACTCTGTACTGCACCACTCTGCACTGCCCCTGTCCTTCCACATAGCCAGGGAGGGATCACGAGGCAAAATGCAGGCAGTGGAGAGAAAGAGGGAGGGAGGGAAGAGAAGTGGAGGGTGGTGGTGGGGGGGGGGAGAAAAAACTGGCAGGCTCCCCCTTTGTCTGCAGGCGATCAGTTACAGTCTTGGTTGCCGATGAAATTTAATCCCCACCGCATTTACATGCCAAGTTTGACTTCTGGCAAGCCTTATTAAATAGATTTGTAAATCATTTCATCTTGATTAGAATCTGTTCTCAAGGGATCAACATTTTTTCGCCTTGCTTGTGTTTTGTTATGTGCACAATCTATACCCACTGGTGTTAAAATTTGAAAGTCAACCCTTGGTGGTGTTATTTTTCCGTGTGAGTGAGTGTGAGCAGTAGGTTTAGGGGACAAAGAGCGATGGGTGCCAAGTCCCGTCCGTCACTGGCCAAGCCACTGTGTCAGCATGTCTCCCGTCTCTGGAGGTCATGTCGGTGGGCGAGCAACTGCTATGATGTGTCTTCTCTTTATTAGGCTGACACCACAGTGTCTTTAGCACAGAACAATGTCATTTCAAATTGTGCCTAATCAGATGGCATTTTGTAATTGCCAGCAAGCATCTTATGAATATGAATTCATAATTGTTCAATTACAAGCCGACTGCATCATATTTATTGGCTTATTTATTTTTTTTCTCCCGCTGGCCTGGGCCAATTATAGGATTTAAATCTTGAGGCAATCAAGTGATAAGGGTGAGGCGTTTAGTGTTTGCTGTCACTATATAATTCTCTCGAATGTTAAACATGCATCTGGGAGGGCTGTATTTGTCAGAAGGCTGTGCGTGGAGGTGCACCTGCCTAATTGAGTGGTAATGAGCTGTCAGGAGTGCAGGCTTGGTGATTGGCTCTCGGCGGGGCGTCCCGTGCCAGTGGGACGTATGGGCTGGCCCGGCCCTGCTGGAAGATCAGCCAGCTCCACAGCCCTGCAGGCCTGAGTGGGCGGAGCGTAGTAAATTAGGGTGGAGAGGCCAAACAGCGCTGGCTGTGGAGACATCCTGTGGCTTTCCCTCAGTCTGTGGGATTTATTTAGGTTGTTTACAATTATCCTTACTCTTGATTTGGTTTTAGTTCTTCATGTCAGAGGTGGAAGAAGATTTTAGATGTTCTGCTTAACTAAAAGTAGCAGTACTGCACTGTAAACATCCATTAAAAGTCCTGGATTGGATTTTACTTAAGGTCACCATGTATAGAATTATTTGTGATTTTTGCATTTATAGAGCTCTCAAAAATTCCAACAATGGAGCAAAACATTTTTTTTTTATAGAAGTGAAAATTAAAAGTTGTATGACTCAACAGCTGTCAATGATTATGCACAGATAGGAACCTCATCCCCCTCTTCTTTTATTTCAATTTTTCTGTGTGGGCGATGCAACGGGCAAGCCGAGACTTCTGCCATGGTGACAGGCTCAGAATTTTGGAATGACTGGAAAGATGTGGGTTCCCCCCTCGTCCACTTGTTCAAAATAAATCAGGAAATCAGTATAAGACTGTATGCTGGCGAGCAAGACCACTTTTTCAAGCCAAGCCATGCGAGGATATTTACAATAATATCCCGAAAATGCAAATTCATAAACTGTGTTCTCGTGATACGCAATAGTATCGTATATTGTGCCAAATACACATAATAGCTTTATGTTTGCAATATTGTCGGGAAGTCAAGTGTCCAATGTAAAAGTACTCATCATACATATTGGTCTGGTTAT